TGTCTCAGACATAATCTGCAATACACAAACACTGTGCGAAGATGGGCACGCAAAAGCCCACTGACACTGAAAAATGCGAGAGCGTGCTGCAGACGCCGAAGACTATGAAGGTGAAGATACAGAGCTTGATAAGATGATATAACGTCTATAATGCGTTCCCCGAAGTAGACGCCGTGCAGATGCGTAAAACACCCAGTTGATACGTGATAGCCCCGCTGCTTGTACCCTAAATAGTAGGATCCTTATTATAAAGGCCCCAAAATATGGTACCCCTAATTTTCGGAAACTCCCCTATAGTAAACGCATGCCTGCGTCGACTCATCCACGAGCACCTGCTTGAAGCGGAAGTTCTGCAGACGCGGATCTCCCGCGCCAACCTCGACTTCGGTCCCTCGACGTTAATATAGGGGGCCTGCATAATCAGAATAGGGTTTTGGGAGCTCCTTAAGGGGCCTTAAGAATCAGAATAGGGTTTGGGGGGCTCCTTGAGGGGCCTTAATAATCAGAATAGTCCTTAAGGGGCCTCAAGAATCAGAATAGGGTTTTGGGGGCTCCTTAAGGGGCCTTAAGAATCAGAATAGGGTTTGGGGGGCTCCTTAAAAGGCCTTATAATAATAGGAATAGGGTTTTGGGGGCTCCTTGCTATAATTATAGTATAATATACCCCCAAACCATTTTTGTTGTTAAGGCCCCTATTCTAAGGTTTGTTTTGGAAGAAGGGGGTATAAGGGGCTTTAGAAGGGGTTTTTTATGTTCTAAGGGCTTCATTATGTATTGGGAGGGTTCAAGATTCTTTCGAAATAGGATGACATCATCTCCCCCCAATAGCCCTTATACTTATACCAGTAAATTTTCTCCAATGTGCCCCAAGACCAGGTTCGAATTATTGAGATCCCTGCATTCTCACCTAGGCAGCGCTGCAGCAGCGAAGGTCCAACTAGTTGAAGGACCGGGAGACTTAGACAATCGGGTCATGGGTACATTCCTTTTCGAGGGAAGGTGGTAATGAAAGGATCCAGCGCTGACTAACTAAGGTTTCAAGAAAAGCAACTACGCATGGCTTTTCCACACATATGCTTAATCGAGCTACCTATAACCCTACTTATTGCTGTTCCCCTGAGCGTCTCAGCTGGGGTTTTGTGGTTTCAGGTCTAAGGCTTGACGAAGGGCTTGACGACTTCTGACAGCTGCTTTCAAGTTTGGTTTGAGCTCCTTCGTTCAATGTGCAGCAGGCAAAAATCACAAGCTTCGGGGCTTGAGGTTGAGAACTCGGGGGTTTAAAGGGTTGAAGATCTCGGATGTAAGGCTTTGGACATGAGGCCTCGGGCAGGATCTGCGGTTTTGGGCTCAATGCTCGTATACTACGTCCTGATACTTAAAGGATCATGGGACTTAGTAAGTAGGGTTATAATTAAGGTAACTATACTTATAACCCCAATTAAGGGACTTATAACCTTACTTACTAAGTCCCATGATCCTCCAAGTACCCTGAAGCTACTCTCGGGAAGTCTGCTGAGTGCAAGGCAGCATCACCACGCATAACCCCAAGCGTGACAGTCTAATCCCTAGATCCCAAAATTCGCTTTGTACATCCCGCAATCCTAAAATAAACCCTAAACCCCTAAACCCTAAATCTCAACTTGAAGACCTTGAGACTCGGATCAACCCCTCACTGTTGCCCAGCGGCGCAGGTGGTGCAGATGACGTCGGCTGCGGTGAGCAACTCACGCTCGGTGGAGTTCTGCAGCTGCTTGAACCTGGGCTGGGGTTTGATTATCAACACCTTTCTTGGATCGGGCGTGGCAGGATTTAGGGCGCAGACCTTTGGGGCTTAGGACGTGAGGTGTGGGGCTTAGGGGGTGAAAGGGCGAAGGCTTTAGGATTTGAGGCTTCGGATGGGGATGGGCCAACACCAGATTCCTACTTGAAGCATCCGCATGCGGCTACCCCAGTCTGAGCCGCGGGAAACACAACCTATACATGGACATTGCCTGCACCCCCACCGCAAAACACACAAGAACAAGAGCCCGAAATCCAAGTGAACCGCAGCCATGTGGCTTCTTCTCGTCCACATGGGAGAGCTCACCCAACTCATCCTTTCAGCAATTTCAAGGCTTTCAGGACTCTTTGGAGGACGGCTTGGGGTCTGGAAGTTGGGGGTTTAGGATGGCAGGCTCTTTTTTTTGGTTCAGACGCTTAGGGTTTAAGATGAACGGTCTTTCGGTGTTCGGAAGTTAAGGCCTGAGGGCTTAGGATGTTTACTGTAGGATTTAGGGTTTACGGCTTGAGGGTTTAGGGTTTTGGGTTTAGGGTTTAGGGTTTAGGCTTGAATGTTTAGGATTGTGAGATTTAAGACGGGCAAAGAGGCGCTTGTGTTGGTGATGGTGGGGTTGTACGCGGCTCTGGCCTACTGGCTACCTGTGCCCCCTAGGATAGGCCATAATGTCATGTCGGCTTGGCTCTATTTCAAAATTTAGCCCCCCCCCCCTCAGAAATCACCAAACCCAAGAACGACTTGAAAAAGGGATCTTGCTAATAAGAATAGGTTTTGGGGGGGGCCACTTATACTAGAATTACAACAAGGAAGCCCCAACAAAAATATGGGGAATTATTTAGGCCCCCGTATGAACCCTTAGGGCCTTAGGGTCGAGGGCTTCAGGCAAAGCCCCTGATCTTGAATCTCGAATATACTTAATATAGGGGCCATTAATAATTAGAATAGGGTTTTGAGGTCCTTTCTAGTATAACTATAATAAGGAATCCCCAATAAAATGTGGGTAATTATCAAGGCCCCTATATCAAATCTCAAGCCCTCAACTGCTCGGGCTTGGGTTCCGGTTTCAGGTCTCGAAGCGCCTTGGCTAGGACTTCACACTTCATACACCCTCACCTCGAAGGAGGACTCTTTCAAAACAGAAATGAAATGGCTCCATGCATAATACTATTATGGAATTAAGTCCACTAATAATGGCATTTTGTATGTAGCCTCTCGGAAATGAAGTGTCGCTTCAGTAGTGAGGCCACAAATGTTGATTCCATTCCATCACAAGGCCTCGTAATATAGGCGCCTTAATAATTAGACTAGGGTTTTGGGGCCCATTATACTATAAATATTACCATGACCCCCCAAAATAATATAGGTAAGTATTTAGGCCGCTATGTTAGTCGAGAAGGGACCGAGGCCTGAACTCGAACCCCCAAAAGCCTCAACATTGAACCCTCAGCCCCCAACCCTACCTCTAGTCTGCATTGTAGTTCCTGTCTTTTGGCCTGACCAGCTTTGAATAGGGGATCCTTCAAGGTGGCCCCTAAAAAGCAACTACAAGGACTACACCCTAAACCCTAAACCCTAAACCGCTACAACCGAGACTAGAGGCAAACCCCTCAACCCTGGTTTCTTATGCCCTTATGTCCTATCGGAGGCCTCAAAAGGGTGGGATGAAGGCAGGTGGGATCTTCCCAAATAAGAATCCTCATATAAGGGATCCTTAACCCTACCTACCTACCTACCTACCTACCTACCTACCTACCTACCTACCTACCTTCATCCCAGCCTTTGGAGGCCTCCGATGCTAGGCACTCCCGGCCTTCAGCGCCATGAGCTTCTGGAGCTCTTGATGGTCCGGAGTATCCAGGTGCCGCACCTCGGGAGGCTTCGGTTTCGGGCTTAGGATTAAAGGAAACTACAGGTGGGGAGTTTAGGGTATATAGGGCCTCTATATGGTATATAAACCTTCTATCAGGCTCCTATAATGGTAACTACCCACCTGAACATGTCCTAGATAGGATGAACCAGCAAGGCCCTTCGAATGGGAAGTGCTTCTAAGGGCCCAGGGTTACAAGGTTTCAGGGTGCCCCGCTGCGGGGCTTCTATGGGGGACTTATGGAGTTTTCCATTCTTATGAAGGTGTAGACTGCAGATTAAGGGAAGGAGGGCGCCGAGAAGTGGGCCTTGTCAGGGACAAAGTCGCACGTCCACGCAAGAATCAGTCTCCGTAGTCTCCGAAGGAAGGCTGCAAAGGCTGAACCTCGAGGCCCATATCCTACCCACATAGTAGTTCCTTTTTGGGATTCCCTAATAGGATCCTAAATATAAGCCACAAAAAGGAACTACTATGGGGCCTATGGCCTATGAGTAGACTCAAAGCCTGTTAACCTTAAGCCGAAAATGTCTCTAAAGCCATAGCGCTGCTGCAACCCGTCGTCAATGTCTCAGCTTAAGATCAACCTAACATAGGGGCCTTAATCACTAGAATAGGGTCGTGGGGTCCATTATACCATAACTAGAATACGGAACCCCCCAAACTAGTATTGGTAAATATTTAGGCGCCTATACTAAACCGTACAACCTTGAGCCCTAACCCCCCTAAACCCTAAACCCCTAAACCTTAAACCCTAAACCCAAAACCCCTAAACCCCTAAAAACCCTAAAGAAGATCCAACTTTGCCTGGTGGTGGAGCGTGAGGAAATCCACGCTGCTGGCCACCGCTTCACGGGACTTGGCACTCAAACCTTGGAGCCGAATCTAATATAGGTTTATAGGGTTTAAAGGGTTTACA